TTTTTATTTTGTAGCCCTCATTTAGCTCTACAATTTAAAAAAAAGTTCATCAAAATTGGACCACTGGATGCCGAGATATTTACAAAAAACGATTTTTTGAGCCCCTGAAAAATGGGCCAATCTGCCGAAAGTGTGACTTGGATCCCGATCTGCCAACTCTTTCTTGTAGATCCTTGGTCAAAAATTTCGCAAAAGAAATTTTTATTCTCCATATTAACACATCTCTTATTTTACTATTAACATGTCTCCCAAAGGTAACAAAAAAGCTGGCAATAACCCTAACGGGGGACCTGCCAAGCGACAAGACAAACGAAACAAAAATAAAGACTCTGGCTCTGACGTTTCGAACTCAGATAACGAACAAATAAACAATAAAAACAACCCTTCCAAACGTACCCGTACGCTCCCAGATAATCCTATGGAAGAAGACTACGTCGCCGACTCAGCGGCTGACGCTGGAGGTAGCAACACTACTCCTCCTCAACAAAATAATGCTGACAACTTTTCGTCTCCTCCTCCCGAAGATACTGCTGCGCCTTCTGCGCCTGGTTCTGTCGTGTCTGGTACTGACGCGTCCATGCATGCTCCAAAAGACAATGAAACTTCCCCCTTAGACGCGTCTCCTAATAAGGATATTATGGATACCAATGATACTTCTCCTCTCCCCCTTGACACGCCCACTATTTCCATTCTTAGGCGTGATTATCAGGCTGCTGCGGCGCCTAATATTTCCCCTGAATTTGTCAAAAAATATCCTACTAATCGGGCTATGATTGACGCTGTCAACAATCTCCTTTTGGAAACTTATCACTCTTATACTGGCCGTGCTCGCATGTCTGGTTCTGGTGACCTCAAAAGACTAGTCATTCATTTTAATTCAACTACTGAACGTGATGCCTGCCTTTCTCTCCAACATGATGATCTTGCCGATCTCCGATTTTTTCTACACGACCCTCAGCAACTCCGAACTGATGAAGATCTCCGGGCTATTCAAGTTACTGACATCCCGTTTTTCATCAAAAAAGATGATATCATTGCTCTTTTCAAAAAGTATGGTAACATACAATTCTGTCGTCTCCATACACGTGCCAATGCTAAGGTCCAACAGGCTCGTATCGTTTATGATGATGCTTCCTCCATTAAACATTTCATGGATAAGCAGTGGGCGATCTATTGTTATTCCACTTGTTTACGCATTACGCCATGCTCTCTCTCCCTTGATCAAAAGAAATCACGACGAGAATTCATCGCTGTACTATCTCAGCTCCCTCCTAACACTAAAGATGTACATTTAGCTCCCTTGGTGCGTGCAATTGGCGCCATGGCTGTTAATATCCCCCTCTCCCTTAATTCTTATAAACCTAAACGTTGGGCTTATATCACCTTCAAGTCACAACAAATGATGGATACTGCAATGGAACAATCAATCGCTTTACAAGGTCATAGGCTTCAATGGGAACTTCCTGAGAATACAAACAAGCTTTGCCATAGATGCGGCAAACTCGGTTGCGCTCCTACTGCTTGCCCGTTGAATAACTCTCGAGGTCGCTCGCGCACCCGTAACCCTGTAGCACATTTAAAAGAACGTTTTAATATTGGACAACCAACAAACCATAACTCTTCTGCTAATCGCAGTAAACGTCATTCCCGTTCTCGATCCAATGATCGTTCTAATTCTCGATAACGTAATCATTCAGCCAATAATACTGGTCGCAACACTAATAATGTCAATAATACTTCTTCGCCCAACTCTCTCAACTCCAATAATTCTACTCAATCTGCACAATGACCTCGATCTAAAGAGCGTAAAGGCAAAGACCGTTCAGTTTCCTTTTCCACTTCCCAACGTAACAGTACCTCTACTCCCAACTCATCTGGTCATAAACCTCCCTTGGTGGATCCTAATTGTTCCCAAATTCAAGAGATCCTTTCAGTACTCAAAAGCCTTCAAGAAGATATGGCTAGTGTACGTGCTAGAATTCATGCTCTTGAATTAGCTGATCAAAGGATGTCTCGGTTGGAACTCCGTGTTTTTGGACATATGCCAGACGATGTTCTCCCACCTGATCCAAATGATTCTTCACATATGCTTGTTGACGATCACCAACGCACCCCCCCTTATCTAACACAATCTAATCCACCCGCCTCGAACAAGCCTCTTTCCGGCCCAGTTCTCCCTCCTCCGATGGTCCCTGTTCCCCGTTCCACTATTTCCTCCTCCCCCATCCCCGAAACTGCCGACGAAGCTACCATCAATAAGGAACGTGCTGAAATTTATTCCTTCCAACGATCTTTAGATAACAAATTTGATCACTTATCCGGTTCTATTAATAGATTTATTAGCTCCATTTCTGGTGGCTCTTCCTCGGACTTAGTCAATAAGACTTCGTCTGATTAATTTGTTATCCTCCTTTTTCACCCCGCAATTTCTATCATAGTGTAATAATGATGAACAATAATATAGATTATGATACCTTTGTGCGAAATCCCCCCAACCCCGTTGATTTTAGTGATATTTTTAATGATCCTTTATCTGATACATTATTTTCTTCTTCTTCCTTTACTTCACCCATCCCAAATTCTTTTAACATTTCTTCCTTTAATGTTAATGGTCTTAAAACCCCTGGTCAAGGTTCGTTTAAAATGGACCAAATTTCTTCTTTCTTTTCTCACAACCATGTTTCTTTTGGTGGTATTGTTGATACCCATTTATCACCTAAACAGATGAAATTTCTATCTAAGCGAGTTTATGATTATACTTCTTTCCATTCTGATTTGGATTCTACTAAACACGGCCGTTCTTCTGGTGGTGTTTCTTTGTTTATACATAACTCTTTAGCCACTCATGTTCAATTTTATCAATCCCATTCCTCCCGTATTCTTTCTGTTGACTTATTTTTTAAAGGCAATGTCAAATTGCGTATATTTGTAGTCTACATTCCTCCTACAAATGATCTTGTTCTTCGATATGAAGTCATTGATCAATTAATTTCTCTTATTTCTCAAACTTCTTCACAAAATTTTCACCATGCTATTTGCGGTGATTTTAACATGAATTTGGAGAAATTTTACCCCATATTTTTGCATCAACCTCAGGTTGCCGCTAAAAGAATTCACAAATTATTTCATTATTTGCTTTCTCATAATTATGAGGATTGTACTCCCCTTAATTTATCTAGTACTTTAGGTACTTATCACCACTTGGATACTATTACCCGCATTGACTTTGTTTGGTCTTGCCCGCTTCTTCGCCATTATATGTTGACATCAACTATTTTTGATGCCTATGATTTACACATTTCTGATCATAACCCTATTATCACCTATTTTGACGCTTCTTTACTGTCAGATGCTATTAAATCTGCTCGTGCTCGTCAACTTGGTCGCAATACTCGACGAATTTTTAAATACGATTCTATTTCTATGGATCAGTGGACTGCTTTTGCTGATGACTTGGATAAGTTATGCCCAATTGATCCACTAGTCTTTGATGCTTGGCCTCTTAATCAGAAATGCGAATATCTCCATTCTAGGATTATTAAAGCTGCAAAATCCCAGCTGCCCTCAGTTACTGTGGGCAATACCTATGCTCCGAAGAAGCCTAAGGATCTTGAAACTTTATGTCAATCTTATCGATTTTTGTCTAAAGTGACGAAAACTATTCGTTCCCTTCGCAATAATCCTGTTTTATATTCTGTTAATTTTGAGTCTAAATGGTCTTCATATTATATACGTCTTAATCAACTCCTTATTAATTATAAACAAATCTTTGTTACCCTTTTGTTCTACCTTCTTTTCTTCGGGATGAACGAATTGATGATTTTGTTAATTTACTTCAAATTTTAGAGAATATGACCTTGCTCTTACGAAGTCTACTTTTGCTTAAAGAAAAAGAATTCCAAGCTTCCTCTATTCAGGCCAAAATTGATGCTCGGAATGAAAATTTTACCAATGATATTTCTACTTTTATTGAATCTGCCTTGTCACGGACTAGACGACGAATCACTCTTGATCGTGTCTTTATTGATCATCCAACATGTCCTACTTTATTAACTTCTCCGGATGCTATTGATCAAGAAGTCATTGAACATTTTCAACACTTTGTTCCAATTACTTCCACTCCCCCGTCTTCCATTCAGGATTTGCCTGAACGATGGTCTACTGCTTATGCGCCGCTTGCTGATGTTTCTCCAGCTATTTTCGATTCACTTATGGACCCTCCCACCCTTGAAGAATGGTCTTCGACGATTTCCTCCATGCCTAATGATAAAGCTCCAGGACCTTCTATGATCTCATATGAGATGTTAAAACACTTAGGAACTTCTGCTTCTGCTCTTCTTTTTAATCTAAT